TAGAAACCCTAAGGGAGGGTGTGTCCAGCCATGAGTATATCGGGCCCTTCAGGAAGCTCCAGTGTGCGGCCACAGTTGAGGACAGGGTGATCAACCATCCAGCCTAGTCGGGATTGAGATGCCTCCCAGGATGCAGGAATCTCAGCACTAAAGCTGCAACTGTCCTAGGCAAGTCAGGAGAGTTAGTCACCCTGCACTGATCTAAACTGTCACTCGGGACCAGTGATATGTTTTCAATTTTTGAAAAGTCAAGACTCATGGGTCTTAGTAGGTGTCATCATGGGGAAGTGTCATCATTTGACATTTACCCAATTACGTCAAGGCATATAGCTCTCCGTGACCTCAATCACTACTTCCTGCTATGTGTTCTTGTTCAGACTTGAGCTGCTATTATTGACTTGGGTAGCATACAAAGTTGTGACATATAAAAGGCAAAGGGAATGAATAAACCATTACAGCAAGTCAGCAAATACCAATGGACGAGCTAAAGGAGCAGAGGGAAATGCTCCTACACTGTTGGTGGGAATGCAAGTTAGTCTAGCCATCGTGGAAACAGTAATTTCCTCAGAAAACTACAAACAGAGCTACTGTATGATCCAACAATCCCACTGCTAGGCATAAATCAAAAGAACACGGAATGAGTGTGTTAAAAGAGCCATCTGCACACCCAAGTTTATTGCATTACTATTCTCACTTGTCAAGATGTGGGATCAACCCAGATCTCCATGAGCAGGTGAATGGATTTTTAAAATGTAGTATGTGCACAATGGTATTCTATTCCATTCAAAGAGGAATAAAATTGTGACATTACACCAACATGGATGGGACTGGCATAATTCACTTATTAAGTGAAGTCAATCAGGCACAAAAAAATAAATACTGCATGTTCTCACTTATATGTAGAAATTTAAAAGTTAATCTCATAGAAATAGAGTATACCGCAGTCCCCAGAGGTGGGAAAGAATACTGGGAAAGGAAGGTTAGTGGACACAGGACAGCGGCTTCACAGGAAAAGTAACTTCTCCTGTTCTATAGCACAGTGGGATGACTACGGTTGACAATTAACTGCATATTTCAGAACAGACAGTGAAGAGATTTTGAATGTACTCAACACAAAAAAAAGATAGATGTGTGAGGTGAGAGTTATACCAGTTACCCTGATCCATTCATTACACACTGTATGGGTGCATCTATCTCACATTATACCTCATAAATATGAACAATGGCTATATAGCAATTGAAATTAAAAATATATTTTTAAAAGGGAAAAAAGCAAAGGAAAACATTAAGTGCCACGTTTCTAAATGCAATCTGAGTTAGCCTTTGATAGTACATTTTGACACATTCCTATTTATCGTTTGTTTATTCCAGTGACCCGGCTACAGGTTTGCAGTAGTCCCTGTTATTATCTGAAAAGATAAACAATTTCTTAATGTAAAATTCCCCTTGTAAACTGAATTGATATTTATCATTCCCAACACAACCAATTTACTCCAGATATGTGGTTCATAAAACCATCAGTGTGTGGACACTGGAACCAGAAATCTTTGCCCTAGGAAGGGAATATAACCCTACAGCTCCTGAGGGCTTTGTTCTTCAAGGGAGATCCAGGTCAGCAGCAGCCATGAGAGGGGACTCTGGCTCCACCTGGGGCTGCAGACTCGGAATGTCTGGAGGCAGGACACAGGAATCCAGGGGTTTTTAAGTTCTCCAGGTTAGATCTATGCATGTGTGAATCTGAGAGTGCTCACCTGGAGAATGCTTTCCCTAACACTTCGTGTCCAGAAGGGCCCAGGGCCTGGTGTGGTGGCTCACATCTTGTAATCCCCGTACTCTGGGAAGCTGAGGCAGGAGGATCACAAGTTTAAGCCCAACCAATCTCTTATTAAAAAGCTTATGCACAGCAAAAGAAACCACCAGCAGTGTGAAGAGACAACCCACAATGTGGGAAAATATCTTCACCTGCTCTTCCTCAGACAAAGGTCTACTATCTCAAATCTATAAAGAACTTAAAAAGA